TGGACTGAAACCTTCAAAACTCTGAGACAAAAAAAAGTTTCCTCCTTATGAGTTGTTTATCTCAGGCATTTTATTACAACAATGGGATGCTGCCATTTTGGAGATCTCAGCCAGTGACGGAGAGTGAGACAAACCTTCTTTTGCTATTTATTAACTCATGTTTGCAGTACATGCAGTTTACAATCATCTTGATGGGTTTGTACATGCACATAAAACAGCTTGTTGCTTTTTTAATCCCCTTTCTCCCTCCCTCCTTTCTACTTCCCTTGTTTTCCTCTTTTCATTTTCTTTATTATTAATCTTAATTCATATTTGGGGCATATAATGTCCACACTGATTGAGATCACATGGTCTATCTTCACTCCACCATTTCCCTATCCTCTCCCTCTCATCCTTTGTCTTGGTCCCCTGGACCCCTTCCTATCTGCTAGAGGTCCATCTCCTTGTCTCCTTTTATCCTTCCTTTATTTTTCTCTTACTGTGTACTTTGCCTTACTCAAATGAGAGAGAGAGCCTATGGCATTTAAGTTTGTGTGTCTGGATTATTTTTCTCAACATTATATTTTCTAGGTGTATTCATTTTCCTACAGATGTTTCAAACTTGTCATTTTTTATAACTAAGTAGTATTCCACTATATATAGATTCTACATTTTATTTATCCACTCATCTGTTGATGGGATATACAGGTTGTTTCCAGGATTTAGCTATTATGAATTATGGTGGTATAAACATTGGTAGGCATGCACCACTGTATTACAATGTCTTAAACTCTTGGGGAAGATATGATTCATAAGGAATGATTGTAAGTGGTGCAATGCTACACTTGGTTTATTCCAAAAAATTGACTCTCGGGTTATTGGGAGTAAGACTTTCAAGTCAATGAACATCTTAGAGTCTTTTTGATTTTCTGCTCCTAGACTCCTTTCTGACATATTCTCTGTCTCTTCTTGGATAGGCGATGACTTACATTGTTCTTTAAATTGAAACACATGCACCAGTCAGTGCACTACGTACTTTTGAACTAATACCAATAGCTCTGTGTTAACTTGCTTGGAGTTTTTTTTATTCTATGCTTTATCATTAGGAACCTTCGTTGTTTGGACTATACTTGCTTGCATTTATTCAGATTCAATTTAGTCAGGGATTGTGATGATATTTAAGTAGACACACAACTTTGTCAGAATGCAAATTTTACTCTCCAACTTTAAGTTTTTTTAGAAATAGAAGTGCTTCCTCCATTGAGGTTGACCTGCCAAGGATCAGGAGGTTCGTTCCTTCTGAGGGTCTACCCCACCTTCCACCCAGGGGATACACACATCCTGATGTGGCAGCAGAGTACAGAACTTTACAGATAGATCTTCATCTGAGAAACCTTAGAATCAACCTGGAGGGAGGTAAAAAGCCCTTAAGGTCAAACATCTGCAATGCACAACTGTTAACTAACTCATGCATTTGTTTATAACAGTAGAACTGTTTTAGTTCATAGCTTGAGTTCTATATTATATGTAACAATTAGCGTTACAGTCACTTTATTTCATTACAGTGAAGCAATTAAATATAAATCATATGTTTTGCTAAGGATAATTAAGATTATCAAAATAATTTATTTTTATGATATATGGAGTTCCTACATGCTAACTATTGTATGCATTATTATTTGAAACTCAGAGTATATTTCTCTGCAGAGACAAAGGCCCAGTCCAGAAGAGTTCTAACCATTAGAGCCTTGATCATGTGTCTATTTCCCTTGTCTCATTCCTTTTCACTGAAGTCAGTCATCCCAGTGGCTTCCCAGGGCTGATCTGGAGCCATGATATCTGGGAAGAGCATTTGACACTTGTGAACCACCTCCAGGGAAATACTTGCTGACTTCCTGTCACCTGACTTTCTGGATGTTGTAAGCCTAGTTCTGTTCACCTCTTGACTTCTCAATCTTTAAATTCCTGTCCAAATTCTCTATGGTTGCTTGCTTTGACAAGATGAGCCCCAACCACCTGCCCATTGTGAGTTGTCTTTCCAACTTTCATTCCCCATTTCTCCTATCCAGCTTAGTTACAAACTGCTGACAATCCAACTCATTCCTCTTTTAAAATGACACATATTTCTAATTGTGTTGATGATAGATTGTAAAAAAAACCACCCCAGTGCTCTCTTTTATCAGCCAGGTAGATATAAGCAAAATACCTACTCTCACTGGTGATTATAGTAGCACACTCTCCAAGGCTTTTGTAAAGACCATATGGGTTGATCTTCGTAAAACAGAATAGTGCTGGCCCCCCAAAAGTACCTTATAAATATATGTTGTTAAAAAACATACAGCTTAGCCTTGAGGTGATTAATAAACAGTGGCTTTTATTGGGCAGTCTCTTGATGCTTATCTGAGGTTGGCCATATGATGGTTTGGGAAATCCTTGGGAAACAGAGGAAGAGGTAACCTTGGAGTTGGGGCACAAAGAGAAAGGTGCAGACTGGGGAGGGAGAAATGCTGTTGGTGAGGGAGAAGGCATGCAAGTTTCATGATTTTAAGCAAGGTTTTCAGTTACTTCTTATCTGTCACCTTTGGCCTTGAGGCTGAAGCGTTCCTAATGCCAGTTATCTCCTTTGTTTTTATTAAAAGGTTCCCCTTCCATACTCTCTTATTTATCCTAAAGCTCACATTCCCTGACTAGGCCTGGTTGGTAACCACAATGTCAAGAAAACATGGCTGGATCAAGTTCTGGTTGGTATGAGGAAAGTCACACATAATATATAAAATGCAAAAAGCCCCAGCACAAGCTGTCCTGGGGAAGTGGAGGCTGTGAGCAACCTTCTGGATAGGGATACTCCAGTCAGCCCAGCCAAGATGGCCACATTCTTGCAGGAGGATTAATGCCGTGGAGTGCCCTTCCACCAGTGTGTTATGTGGATGACTTATGATGTTTCTTGGCTATAAGCAATCCTTGCAGGAAAGAGAAGTAAAGGCAAGATCCCATTGCCTAATGTGCTTGGATACAGTCCTCAAAACTGCTACTTGGTGGCCAGCTGTATGGGGCTTGGGTTGTAGCCCTGAAGAGAAGGTGAAAGCTTGGTTTCTGCCCTCAAGGAACCGCCATACTGATGGGAGCTAACACTCACGTGTAACCAGCATAGACTGATGGAACTTTATAGCACTTCAAAGTCAGGACTCCATATCTTTCTAGGGAGAGAAACCAGGCTTACAGTAGCTTAAGTGAAGAAACTTAATGCACGGGCTGGCATAAAACTGAGAAAAACAGGACTAGTTGTCCTCATTTTATTGTGATTAGATGAGGCAACTTCAGGTTTGTATCAGCCTACCTTTGAGACAAATGAGGAAAGAGAAACCGCCTCTCTCCTCGTGTGGATGTATGAAATTCCAGACAATGACCTAGGTTGGACTGGTTTGGTTCATGTGCTCATTGCTGGCCAATTAGAGGTTTAGCTATTATGACGGATAGGCTTGGGATATGTGACCTTTTTATGAATGAGAGTGACAAGAAATGGAAAAAGAAAACTACCTATGGTAAGAGGAATAGAAGCAAGGGCTGCTTCAGAAGAAAGGGCAGAAAGATGTGGAACTTTCTGAAACAGCAAATGCTGTGTGGGCCAGAGATGCTCTGTGAAACACAGAATTTAGGGGTGTGAAGCTCAGCAAATGGAGTCATAGTGTGTGTGTTGGGATGTGTGTGGGGAACCAAAAGCAGGAAGCCTCCCTGGAGAAACTGGGACTTGAAAGCAAGGTGTTTTGGAGGGGAAACCTCATTCTTCTTTTCTGCAGGAAGAACAGAGGAAGAGCAGGGAATTAGGCCATGCTCCACCCCTGAGCGGCCCCCCTCCACCAGAGAATGGTGGTTACCGAACAGGGGCTCCTGATGAAGCCACTTAGCGGCACTCACGCTAAGAGGTGGTGACCTCCAACCCCAGAACTGAGGCGCTCTGGCAAAGGCAGCTGTAACCACCCAGAGTGTAATTTGTCAGGGACGCGAAGGTTAACATTTTTCTTCACAAAAACCATCTTTAATGACCATCAGCAATCAGGACCTCCGATTTCTGTCTCATTTGAAAGCTTTTAATGCTTTCAGAGGGATAGATGGGGTGACCTAATAGGTCTTTCCATCTCTGATTTTCTATGATTAATGAAGTTCAATTGTGCAGAATAAAATGGCGAGTTTCTCGGTGTCAGTTCAGCTGTATTTCTGTTCCCTCCCTCTTTCCTTCCCCATTTTTTTTTAGACAGATGATAATCATGCACATTTTCTCTTAATGCTTCAGAATAAAAGGGATTTTTTTTTCTTTTGAGACAGGCTTTGAAAATGTCAAGGTGGGTGTATTTATCAGTGGTGGTGTAAATTGTTGCCAAATGCCACAGGCCACTCTTCTCTTTCCCACCCCCAGGACAGATTAGGTTGCCTGCGTTAAAGGCAATACAAACACCAAAAATGTGAAATCACTTTATGTTTTTAAGAGTTTATTAGGCTTTTTCCAAGTACTTTCACAAAATGCATTTGTTTAATAGAATACTGACCTACTGTCTTTTGGGACAGAGGAGGAATTTATAATCTTGTTTTGTCTGGAGGGAAACTGAGGCCCAGGACAGTGGTAAAACTTGACCAGAGGTGCACAGACTGGAGGGGAAAGGCCATGGCTAAGGATTGTTGAACTTCTCTCTGCTACAGTTGGGAAGTGCAGTGCAATTTTTAAAGTATCTCTTGAGGGAAATTCTAGAGAAATTCACTGAGTCTTCTTTCCTTCTCAGCCTGGAGAGTTTCGTAGGTTGAAAGTCCTCTGAATTATGAAGAAGCCAGGCTTGTAGGGAACTGTCCTGGGAGCATGAGGTTTTTAACTTTCATGTGCTCTTTGCCTTTGGAAAGGAAAAGCTTCAAGGGAGGGATTTCCATGAGTTTGTGTGGTTTGCCTCTTTTCCTTGTTAAAGGACACAGTTGGGTTCTTCTGAATTCCTGCTTGTGCTGCCCAAGGCGGAGTTAGTACAGGGATCTTAGACAGAGTTTCCTGCCAGGAGGAGTGAAGATGCTGCCAGTTCGACAGTGCTGCTGTATGGGACCCTGGGACATTACTGGCAGGAGAATACATTTTGATTTGTAAAAACCCTGACCAATCAACTGAAATCTCCAAATGACTGAATTTAGACTAATTTCGAATTTCTAAAATACTCGGGATTCACAAGCGAAAAATAATTGCCAGCATTCTCAACAAGAAAAGCTCCCTTGCCTGGATCACTTCAGATTTTAAGAACACAGAGAACATGCCCTAATTTGTAACCAGGGGTCCCCAGTATCCAACCTATGCTGACACACCAAGTAAGGAGGCAACTCCGAGTACTCTTGAACTTAGCTTAGGTCTGATGATCATATCTTTGTCCCTAGGCAAGGGTGAAAAGGACTTGGGAGGGCTCAGGTTGTCTGAGTTCCATCCTTTTCTATATACTTTTGGAGTAGCCATCATTAGGGCAGTGGTGGATAAACCTGTGGCATTTGTGCTGAAGGGGGGGTGTTTTGTATTGCTGAAAGCTCTAAAAGGTTCATCATTGTTGATGTGGGCTATGTGCAAGTGAGACTTAGCTTTCCAGCTCTGCCTTTCCTGGATCAGGGCCTGAGGGGGTTTCTAAATGAAATAAGAACTTCTCCTTGAGGCTGAGCAATAGAGTGTATTTCATTTTATGTTGGCAACACCGCCTCTGGTGGTGAGCTCCAGTGAGTAGAACTGGGGTCCACAGGGATGCTTGTGAGATTAGGTAGCAGGTGGAAAGTGAGGGAAATAGGTGATGGGAGTGTTTTCTTATCTGTGTTCTAAGGCCCAGTTCACATCTGATGCTACTCTGAACCCAACCCAAGAGTTCGAATTTACACTTACCTTTCTTCTCTGACCTATATCGTAGCTCTAAAAATAGTTTGTCAGAAAAGGTTCTTGGGGCAATAGTCGTTGCTACGGTTTGAATGTGTCCCATTCAAAACTCAGGGGATGCCAATGCTATAGTATTATAAGACAGGGCTTTTCTGCTTAAGATCACAAATAGGATTAGGTGCCATTATGAAAGGATTTAATAGCAGGAGTTCATTCCTTTTTGCCCTTCTGACATCCATCACATGAAGATCTAGCAATTTTTCTTCTCTCTAGAGGACGCAGCAATCAAGAAAGCATGTTGTGGGTAGAGTACAGAACCTTCTCAGGCACCAAACCTATCAGTGCCTTGCTTTTATCTTTCCAGGTTTCAAAACCAAGAGAAAATTAGTTTTTGTTCCTTATAAATTACCCAGTCTTGGGTATTTGATTATAAATACACCAAACAGACTATGACAGGAATTTTAATCAACTTGAGTTTGTGTATTAAAATACAGCTTCCTGCTGAGCTCAGATCCTGGAGGTGGATCTGTAGCATCTGCATTTAGCTGTGTTTCCCCAGGATATTTCTAAACACCCAGGTTTTGGAATGATGATCAAGAGTTTTTTGGTTGTTTTTCTTTGGATTTTTTTCACTGGCATATAAATATAATAAATATCTATATTAAATACATTAATATGTTTAATGTATATTAATAAGTTAAATATATTAACATATTAAATTACTATTTTCATAATTTTAAGTACACAATTTAGCAGCATTAAGCATGTTCCCATTGTTCTGCAACCATCACCACTATTACCCTTCTCGAGAACTTTTTTAGCTTCTCCAAGTGAAACTTGTTATGTGTTAAAGCTCTACACTGCCCTCATTTTCCCATTCCCTGGAAAATGCCATTCTTTTTTCTGGCTTTTTGGATTTGGCCAGGTGGGTACATCATATAGATAGAAACATATTATATTTGTTTTTGTAACAGACAGATTTGACAATATAATGTCTCCAAAGTTCATCTGTGTTACAGCATGTGTCAGAATCTAACTTTTGAGACTGAAAAATATGCCATTCTAGGTATATAACATGTTTTGTTTATCTACCTGTCAAAGGATGCTTAGATTATTTATACCTTTTGGCTCTTATAAATAATGCTGCTATGAATATAGGTATACAGACAGCTTTTGAGTCTGTGCCTTCAGCTCTCTTGGGTATATACAAAAGTGGCATTGCTGGATTATATAATACTATGTTTAATTTTTTGATGAAGCTTGTATGGTCCTTGACCCATTTTATATTTCTACCAGCTATACACAAGGGTTCCAATTTTCACATTCTCATGAACACCTGTTTTGTAAGAATAGCTATCTTGGGCCAGGGATACAGCGCAGTGGCACCATATCTGCCCGGCAAGCACAAGGTCCTTGTGTACCACAAAAAAAGAATAGCTATCTCAACAATGTAAAGCTGTGTCTTATTGAGGATTTGAATTGCATTTACCTAGTGATTTATGATGTTGAGCATCTTTGATGTGCTCACTGGAATGACCTTGCTTTTCTCACAAATCTCCTCATTCTCTTGGGATTTCCACAATGACATGGATGATAAGAACTTCCTTGTAATTCACAAGAACCTCACTGCAGCCATAGCTAAATTTATACTAATGAGGTAGCTCCTGGAAGGGTCCTTAGATGGCTTCAGGATAAGACTGGATGCCAGTGGAATGGATCGTGTCATTAAAGGGTTGGAAATGTCAGCCTTGAGGGGAGGGGAATGGGAGATTAAGTTCAATCACTAATGGCCAGAGCTCTAGTCTATCAGACTGGTGTCATGACTTTCAAAAAGAATTTTAAAAACCATAAAATGATGAGTTTCTAAGTTGGTAAACATACCGTGGTATGTGAGGATGAGGTGCTGGAAGCTCCACACCCTGTCTCTCAAACCCTACCCTCTGTTTCTATTCCACTTTGCTGTTTCTGAGTTGTATGCTTTTTAATAAACCAGTTCTGGTGGGTAAAATGTCTTTTGGGAGATGCTTGGAAAATCATAATTATGACACGAAACTGACACTTTTATGCCGTTCAGGTGGGAATACAAAAGGTGGCAACCACTGTATATATCAGTATGGAGGTTTCTGAGAAACTTAAACAATCTAGTACAATCCAGAAATGTACAACCAGTGGCTCAGAAGAACAGGCAGAAACTTGTGACTTGCAACTGGTATCTGAAGTAGAGTAATCTTGTGGGACTGGGCCCTTCACTTTTAGGACCTGCACCAACTCCAAGAAATTAGTGTCAGAATTGAATCGAATTGTAGGACACACAGTTGGTGTTCTGAGAATTGGAGAAATGTGTGTGTGTGTGTGTGTGTGTGTGTGTGTGTGTGTGTAAACTCATGTATTTGGCCAGAATTCTTGTGAATATAAGTAGTTTACACCTTCTTGATCATAAATGAATAATAATGATACCTACCTGGAAGGATGATTTTAATGAATGAGACAATAATGTGACATTCAGAGAAGAGCATTCGTCTTAGGAAGTGAATGTCATAGGAAGAAAGGAAGGGGACAGCTCTGCTGTTCTCTGTTCTTTGATAATAACCAGAAGAGATATTCTCTGGAACAGAGGACCTGCAACATGAGACTGATATGAGCCAGAAGCATTGGCTTTCAGCTCGGTTTACCCACTAAAGACACATGGGGATTTTACACTCGGTTGAAGAATTTCCCATCCAACTTCTTATCACAGGAAATGCATCATCTAGGGCTCTAGGATTGACCTCTAGTCATCACCTTTTGAGCCTGAGACCTCATGGTCTCTGCTGCCATAGGAGTAAATCTCATTGTCGAACCTTAGGAGGTGGAGAGGCTGCTTCAGTTTCCTAAGACCACACCCTAAAACATAGCCTATAATAATATAAGTAAAAACAGTGCTGACTGTACTCTAAATCTCCTTGGCTTTAATGTGTGTTAGTAATAAGTAGGTAAGTAATTGACTCAAACATAGGATTTTTCATTTGATACAATATTCCTTTAACTATCAATTCTACACTGCAATGCTGGCTCACATGATTGGGATAATACCATAATTATGTTCTTTCATCTTCTAGTATAACAAAGAACCAGATGGCACGATTCCAATAAAAAAAATATTAAGTTCAGGTTCTTTTGTCTATTGTTGCATTCAGAAAGGATTTTCTTTGACATAAGGCCATTATTGGATTTTAATTAAGTGACAGCTGATTGTGAGAGCCAAGATTTTTGGCATTTTATGCCTTAGTCTTACAGAGCTTAAAAATTCCATAATGCTTTTTGGTAAACACTATGTTCATAGCCAACCAATGGAGAGTCTTTTTCAGATTTTTTAAAATGTTTACCAGTATTAACCAATCAAGAACATGTTCTGAATCATCTTCTTTTGTAGATTTATTTATCTCCTTTCTGTGTTCGCTTCCTTTAAAAAAAAAAAAAAAGTCTGTGCACATGGATTTGGATCAAAAATATTCTGAAGATGGAAGCTGTGCCAGGAACAATTCTTGGCAAAGTTGGCAAGTAGTTCCTGTTGGCTTTCATCAGACACAACCTAACTCCAACTCTTATACAATCCCTCATTCCTTGTTACTCAATCCCTCCAGACCCCGAACCAGTGGTTTACCTGGTAAAAAAAAAAAAAGTCTGTGCACATGGATTTGGATCAAAAATATTCTGAAGATGGAAGCTGTGCCAGGAACAATTCTTGGCAAAGTTGGCAAGTAGTTCCTGTTGGCTTTCATCAGACACAACCTAACTCCAACTCTTATACAATCCCTCATTCCTTGTTACTCAATCCCTCCAGACCCCGAACCAGTGGTTTACCTGGTAAATTAGTTATTATAGAAAAATTTCAACTTACAGTATTTTCTGTTTTCCACATAGTAAACAACCACCCCAGGGCTGATTGTAGGCCTCCCACTTGAAGTCTCCATGAACTGAGAAAGGGTAGGAAGCTCACCTCTTGCAAATGGATCCAGTAAGAAATGGCTGCAGCACACTATTGGTTCAGCGTTATCCATTTCTCCTGCCATTTTGTCAAAACTTATTATTGAAACAAGGTCGTATATCAGACATTTTACTTCTTGGTATGAATTCCTGCCCCTTGTTTCCCCCTTTCTAGTATGGAAGAAAAGCAGGTGTTGTACTGTCAATGAGCAGGTAGAGAAAATATTCCATGAAAGATGGGAAGACTGACTTCTAAAAGCATTTGTCCATTTTGTGGGGAGAAAAAAGCTGTAAGAAGTTATGTGGGTAGGTTTTTCTTTTCCTAAGCCTCTCACCTGTGTGACTTTGAGTAAGGCATGTTTCTTCAGTGGTTCTTGGATTTATTGTGAAGGAAAGAACTAGTGGGCCTCTAGAGGCTCTCTCAGGTTTGATATGTTACCCCTCCAGGTGGCGTCTTGACTACTTGTCCAGGAACAGAGATGAACTGTGAAAAGAGAATATTAACCAGATTATTTCATCATTTTTCTAACTCATGGAATAATTTGTTTATGAAATAAAGTGAAGAAGTGGACAAGAGAATGAATGTGCTTCTTTCTTTCTTAATGAAAGAGACTCTACAAACTTTTTAATAGTTTTAGTCTCTCACCAATATGTGTTAATGCTCGGAGCATCTATTCCTTATAATCAAGTATTACATATTTTTCATACAATTGCTACCTTATTAATAGATGTCTAGTTAAGCTGGTATAGGCTGTTTCTGTTGCAGTTTAATTACCAACACAGTTAATTAGGCAATATACTCCATTACTATTTTTATTCAATTCACTTTATTAAGCAGGTTTGAGAAAGAATCGGTGGACACAGAACCTGGAGCAAGATAATGGAGGAAGAACCACGAAGCACGATGACCTTTATAAAGCACCTACTGTGTGCTGGCACTTTATAAAAATCATCTCTAATTTCTCACAGTGACTCAGCTGAGGGTTTCAAACATGGACAATAGCGACTAGGGCATCTATGACCAAAAGGCTGGGGACTCTTGCATCTTTGCAACCACAGTTAATCGGTGTCACGGGATCTGCAGGGAGAAGAGCCGAGCACTCTGTCTTGAACAAGACTTCTCACTTTAGCTCCTTGGCTAGAGAGCATTCTAAGAACTCATAAGAGTCCATCCCAGTGGCAAACCTGCCAAAGAATAGTGTGAAGAACCACTGGGAAAGCTGAAGTGCACAAACAGGTCTCATGCAGCTGGGAAAGACAAGTGAAATTTCATCATTAACATGCTTGTCTTTAGCTTAAGATTCTACAGGAAATCAAATGAACCTTCTCTTAGGAAGCTTTGGATTTCGGTTGTTGTCAATTACCTGTGTTTCAGAAAGAAAGGAAGACCTTAGGGAATAGATATTGATAGAGGAGGAGAAGGAGGACAGTCAGAGATTGGATAGGGACAGGAAAGAGGAGAAGGAAAAGAAATGCATCTCCAGATTTTTTTTCTTCATTGAGTTTATTGATACATTCTAGGTATACAGTACAGTTACATTCATTACTGGGATCCTGTACCTTTACATGAGATGTCTTTGTTCTCATTTTTTCCCCTTGTCCCTGCTTTCCCTTCACCCCTCTTCCCCTCCCTCTTTACAAATACTTCATTTCCATTTTTCATTTTCTCATATTTTTTTTCTTTTCCCTTATTACCTTTCCCTACCCTTCCCACTTTCCCTACACCTTTAGCCCATTTCTTCCTATTTCATATTGTCAATTATATCATTAGGAACTTATGTACTATTATAGTTTATTCACACCAGAGAAACTATTTGGTATTTACACATGTGTGACTTATTTATTTCACTTAACTTAGGAGTAAGTACATATCCTCAATATGTATCCATTTTGGATCTCCAGATTTAAGACTTGTGCTAAGTTCTAAGTCCTTGGGACTTGTAGATATTTGACAGATTGGCTCTGAGAAAAGAAATATGAAGACTGGAAAATTTGTGGCAAGAGGTTTTTGAAAGACTATTTGAGAGGTAAGGGGTTTTGAATATGACCATCAAGTATTTGAGTATTTAATTGCTGATTGTGAAAGGACTATGTACTTATACTTGGTTACTCATTATGAAATGTGGCTATAAATGACTTCTTATGTTATCTGTAAGGAGTAAATGACTCAAAGTGTATGAGTGTGAAGTGTCTACATGTTCTGTGTTATCCAGGTTGCTGTCACTGTAGTAAAATGCATGACAGTTAAGTTATAAAGAGAAAAGATTTATTTTGGATCACTGTTTTGGAGGTTTCAGCCTGATACCCATTGATCCTGTTTTCCTAGGCTTGTGGTAAGGCAGCCCATCATAGCAGGAGTTCATGACATAACTGCTCATCTCCTTATCATGAAGCAAAAGACAGAGGAGAGGGTCAGGATCCCATAGATCCTCTTGGGAATATGCACCAATGACCGAGGGACTTCCTATAAAGTCCCACCACTCAACATTCCACCTTTTCACAGTGGCACCACACTGGGGACAACACCTCTGACACAACTTGCCAGCCATGGTGTCTTATTCGTCTAGCATAGTATCTGATGCACAGCAGACACTTAAATACTTGGTTGAATAAACATACTACTTTTTCCTGAAGGGTCAGTTATGTAAAGATGATTTATTAGCCACTGAAAAGAGAAAAGATGTATATATGTAAACATCTAACTTGATGCCAAACTGACACGGCAAAGCATGCAAAGGGATTAGGTGGGGCCAGTGTCCACCCTGCATCAGGTACACTCTGAGCCCTGGGGACTTATCAGTAAAGCAACTAGAGAACAGTTCTTGATTTCCTGGCATTTACCTCCAAGGAAGAGAGATCATAATACACCATGAATATGTTGAGAGGAAATAATATGATGGCTTGTTTTAGGTGTCAGTTTGACTTCAATAAATGATACTCAGACAGCTGGGCCTTCCCAAAAGAGATTGACATTTGAATCAGTGAACTGATTAGATAAGATCCACAATGATCCAATGAGAGTAGGCATGATTTAATCAAGTGAGGGCCTGGATAGAACAAAAAGATAGGGAAAATAAATCTACCCTCTTCTGGAGCTGGGATACATTTTTTTCTCCTAGCCTTAGATACGATGCCTTAGGCTCTTTCATCTTTAAATTCTAGTACTTGCACCAGTGGCTTCCAAGTTTCTCAGGCCTTCAGCTTTGAAGTATTAGTAGTTCCATTGGCTATTGTGGTTCTGAAGCCTTCAGAATAGAACTGAGCTATGCTATCGAGCACTTTAGTTGTCTGGCTTATGGACAACATATCATGAGTCATCTCAACCCCCTAATCACAAGACCCAAATCCTATAATAAGAAAAAGCCTAACTCTGTATCTCCTCATTTTATTGGTTCTGTTTCCCAGAAGAACCCTAATTAATACAGGAAGGAAAAGATATAAGGAGGAGGAGGAGGAGGAGGAGGAGGAGGAGGAGGAAGAATATGGGAATAGGAGTTACAATTTTAGGGAGGGTATCCAGGACAGATATCTGGAGAAAGATCAATTCTGACAGAGAAAAGAGCAAGTGTAAAGATTCAGAGAGAGCATTCTTGGTGCACTGAGGAAACACGGAAGAAGCCAGGACATATAAAGTGGAATAAGTAAATTGAAGAGTAATAGAAGATGGGGCTGATGGAACTAATGGTATACCAGATCACACAGGACCTCATACATTATTATAAAGACTTTGGATTTTACCTTGAGTACAGGAGGAAACTTTTGGTCTTTGAGCAGATGAATGATATAATCTAATTTTAACTTAACAGTATCATTTGATTTTCAGGATTAAGAATAGAGTGGAGGGTGAAAAGAACAGAATTAGGTAGACAGTTGTAGCCATGAAGTTTGTGAGAAAAGTGTGGATAGAGTTTGAAGATAAAAACAATGGTATTCTCTGATTATGTGGGTGTAAATGAAAGAGAAGAAATGAAGGTGATTGCAAGATTTCTGATTTGAACAGTGAAAAGGTAGAGTTTTTATTTCCCTGAGATGAAACAAAAGTAAGAACAACACAGTTTAAAGGGACTGGAGAAGTATTAGTAGTTGTGTTGTACTTTTAATTTTGAAATACTGTTTTAGTATTAAAGTGAAGATGTCAAGCAGGTAGTTGGGTGCGTGAGACTGGAATTCAGTAAAGACCTTTAGATTCATATATAAATTGGAAATTGTGTCATGGGAATTGGTAAGGCCCAAGACAATGATTATACACAAATGAGGAAGAAGCTGAAGGCATAAAATGTAATACACATTAGGGCTGAGGAGGAACTAGGAAAAGAGACTGAGAAAGAGAAGCAACTGGATAGAAGGAAATCTTTAAAAAAATCCATTAGAAGAAGGTACTTCAAGGAGGTGAGAGTGACCACGTTTGTGGAGTACTGTTGCTGGATAAACTAAGAAAATTAACTGTTCACTCATTGTATTTAACAAAGTAGATTTCACTGGCATCCGGAAGAACATTTTTATAAGAACAGTATGAATGCCATTTTAGTGTGTACTTAAAATATGAGCTTGAAGAATGAAGGACAGAAAGTTATCAAAAATATTATTTTTAAAATGAGCAGAGAGGCCGGGGATTTAGCTCAGTGGTTCGGTGGCCTGCCTTGCAAGCACAAGGACCTGAGTTCAATCCCCGGTACCAAAAAAAAAAAAAAAAAAAAAAAAAAAAAGAGCAGAGAAATAAGGTAAGTAGATGTAAGGTCAAAAGCATTTTTTAAGATGGGAGAATTAATAGTATGTCTGTGTCCTAATGAAAATGACCTAACAAACATAAAAAGTCAGTTTTAGAAGAAAGAAAGGAAAAATGATGGAAAGCTGTGGAGAAAAATAGATGGGTCCAGTGGACAAACACAAATATAAAATATATGACAGCAAACCTAGGAGAACAGACAAATGGTAACAAAAAATATAACTTCATTTTTATTTCAATGAAATAATAGAATGGAGTTAGAAACTAATAAAATGTGAATGATAAATCTTCAGAGTAACCACTAAAATATACATACACAACACAAAGAGGCATAGGTAAACCATCAGTAAAAGAAATAAAATGAAATCCTAAAATATACTTAACTCCAAAGAAAAGATCAAAGGAATAATTGAAGTGGCACAAATAGAAAAAAAGCATAAAGATAATAGAAGTAAACCCAGATATAATGATTATGTTAAATGTGAATGGTCTAATCTTTTAGTAAAAATCTGAAGATTGTCAAACTGGATAATTAAAAAGATCTAATTATATGTTTATAACAATCACATTTTACTCACAAAATCAGTCATAAATTGAAAGGAAAAGGATGGAAGATTATACATATACCATAAAATATTAATAAAAAAGCTAGTGTGGCCATCATACTAGCATTAAAGTGGAAGACACACACTTATTTGAGGCTTTATTCACAAATAGCCTTCCAGATGAAGAGTATTATGTCACCAATACAGAGAGAC